GATCCATACTGTAGTCTTTGCTCTTCAGCAGCAAGTGTGTCAAGTCAAGTCCTCTTCACTTTCAGGAAGCAGAGTTATATCATCTGACTAATACAGATTGTTGATGAGTCATTTTTCCCAAAGTGCAGTGATGTCAGTTTAAAGACTAAGGTGTTTTTGATCCCATCCAGAGTCTTCATTTACTTCCTATGCATCTGAAAGTTGAACGATGAACAAGAATAACAGGAAAATTTAGTGTCTTTGAGTTGTGGTGTTAGACAAGAATACTGAATATTTCACGGGCTGAGGAAAGAACAAACAAGCCTGTTTATTGGAGGAGGTGCAACCAGGGTGCTCCTTGGAGACAAGGGTGATGAAACTTTGTCTCACATACTTTGGGTGTGTTGTCAGGAGGATCTGTTTAGCGTTCCAGAATTAAAACCCATTCAGAATTTGTGATTCAAAAGTGTTTAACATTTTTATCCACAGCAAGTAGCCTATGAATTTACTGATTAAATAAGATTATTTGACGAATGCCTTAGGAGTTTTACAAAATATGCTTTTCTGATTGCTTACTTTTTTAAAAATAAAGTTTTTTCTGACTATAGCAGTAATAGTTGTAAAAAAGGATGGAATGTGTGCAGACGTACATAGAGAAAAGTAAACATCCTATCTCACTTCTTGGAGATGACTGTTTTAAACAGTGCTAGTATGTTTTGTTCCTGGCTGTTTGACTGCCTATTTTGGGTTCCTAAGTCTTAAATTTTTTTAAATATAAATAATACTGTGGTAAATCATAGATGTTTGTTCCTATTTTAAGGTCTTTTTTTCTTTTTAAGAGTGGCTTTCTAAAACAAAGTGTCTTTGTTTTTAAACAGGTTATATTTTAGACATGAAAGCTTTTCTGTTTATGTGTCTTGGTGTAGCCAGGGCTACAGAAGCAGAGCTTTGTGATTGAAGCTATTATTCATGTTTTCATCTCTCCCCAGTGTACATGGCATAGGGTGTTTCATTCACAGAACATAGCTATAGTTCAGGTCATCCTTAAATCTATTCTAATGGTTTTTTAAGGAAAAAAAAATTATAAATGTTGGTACATCTTTTAATCCCTATCACAGCAGGTTAGCTCTGACATCCTTTCAACTGACACTGACAGGTCTTGGTACCATTACTGAGAACCACTGGCTTACCTGTGCAGATAAAAGCCCAGCAAGGCTGTGAGCATCCCTAGCGTGAGCTTGTGTAGTCGAAGGGGTAGCTGTCATCAGTAAACAGGGGGATGTGAGGTGTGAGGAACAGTGTCTGGAAATGCACTAGGAATGAGATGGGCGACGCCTGCAGCAGTGGGAAAGAGGGAAAGAGATAGAAGGCTCTCGAGTGTGATCATCCACACAGTCAGAGACAGTAAGGGTTTGACACTGCGCCTCCCTCCCTTCTCACTCATCCTTACTCTCTCTCAGTTGCTGTTGAGGTGCAACCAACCCATAGCTGACTTCAGCAGATTTTCAGAGTCTGTAAATTGCCCATCTTTTCCTCTTGTGACTACTAGTGCCTTCAAACCTCTATCCTTTAGGTTGGCAGCAACTCCTTACCCGTTAGACAGCCACAACTTAGGTTGCTTCTGCCATTTATCTGTGACTTGCCAGTCCTTGTTGGCCAACAGTTTAAGAAGTCAGAATTTTTTTATTTTAGAAAACGTAATGCATGAGAATGACTGTATGAAACACAGAATGAATGAAGAATAGTGTGAAACATCATGTATACGAACTTTGTGTAAACAAACGAAAAAGTCAATTTGAAGTTCTTTTTTTTTTTTCCAATTTGAAGTTCTGTTCCACATTTCCCCCCCTTTGGATCAGGATTCTTTTACAGGATCTTTGATCAAACTGTTGAGTAACTGTAGCCAGGTATCATTTATTTGGTTCTTCTGGTCTCGTGGCATAGGAGACAGTTGTTCACAGAGGCAACCAGACACATATTCATTGGACTGCATCTGCTTTGAGCATCAGGCTCTTTTAAAGGAGGCATAGTGCATTACTTTTTGGGCTGGTAATCCAAAGGTTAGAGTTTTAGAGTCTACTAGCCACTCCTGGAAAAAAGATGGAAAGTCCTCTTCTGTAAAGATTTATTGATTACATACTCCATTACCTGTAGCTCATTACCCTCTAAGTTTCTCCCCAAACTGTAGAGATGCTGTTGTCAGTTTGGTCTCACGTGAAACCCATTGCCATTGAATCTATTCTGACTCATGGCAGCCCTCGATCAGGCTTCTGAAAACCCACTGAGGGGTCATCTGTGGGTTGGTTCCAACATGATGGCACGTAACAACAACCAATATCCCTGAATTGTGCAAGTAGAAATTGTTGAAAATGTTAATCTTGCTGTGTATTGTTCAGTCATAGTCATAGAGTCAGAATTGACTCATGGCCGACACTCCAGAGGGTTTTCAGCAACTCTAAACCACGTGATAGGAGATTGCGCGCCTTTCTTCTGTGGGGCAACTGGTGGATTTAAACTATCTGCCATTGGCAGCGCAACTCATTACAACGTGGCCGCCAGAGCTCCCATGTATACTTACACATAAGTAGGTATGCAAATGAAAACTAGAGCCCTGCCCTGCAAGGGCTTCAGGGGCGAATTTCTCAGAGGCACCGTTTGTACGCTTTATGAGAGATAGAACTTAAGTGTCAGACTGAGGAGGGCCAAGTAGGAGAAGCAGGCAATTATAAGGGTCCGAAAGAGAGTAATATTGAGGAGTGGACAGAGACAAGCATGGCTTGCACATGGTAAACAAGGACAGCAGAGGGATGTGAGGATGGGTTTGTGCCCAGGACCTTAGCAGATTTGTACAGACGTTTTCAGTCATTGTAGTAAGATAGCTGCAGTAGGGTTCTGGACAGTCACTTCTGGCCTCTCTTTTGGGAGGCGAGATTGAAGCAGGAAATGGAAAGCTTAGGCTTTGGGAATCTGAGCAGAGGTGGTGTGGGACCTTGGACACAAGGATGGCAGCAAGGACACTCTAGGCTTGGATAGGGGCCTAGCTTATTGGGAATTGTGCTGCTAACCCAAAGTCCATGCCTCTCTACTTGTTCGAATCCTCTAGCAGCTCATCAAGTGAGAGATGAGGAATTTCTTCCTTTGCAGCACACATCCTCAGAAACCCAATGGAGAGTCAGCAGTGAGTTTGAGAGAGAGCAAATTTGGGGGAAGTGGTGTAGAAGGAGGGAGCTGTGGTAGCCTAGTGGGTAAGGAGTTGCACTGCCAACCAAGGGCAAGCTGTTCAAGTCCACCAGCTGCTCCTCAGGAGAAAGAAGGGTGATCTCCCTGAAAACCCTCTGGAAGATCAGCTGTGAGTTGGTTCCAACTCAAGACAGTGAAAGAGGGAGGTGTTGAAGGAGCCCTGGTGAAGCAGTGGTTAACTGATCAGCTGCTAGGGGAAAGGTTGACAGTTCAAAACCACCAGCCACTCTGCAGAAGAGAGACGTGACAGTCTGCTTCTGTAAAGACGTGCAGCTGTGGAAATCTTGCAGGGCATTTCACTTCAACCTGGAAGGTCAGTGTGAGTCCCAATCTACTCCCTAACAATAGTTTTTATTTTGTTTTATTTGTTTGAAACTCAGTGTCATAGGGACAATAATAGTTTAGTGGCAGACTCTCACTTCTCATGCAGGAGACCCAGTTTACAGTCCCAGACGTGGAATACACACCTACCACCCACTTCCCACAGAGGGGTGTGTGTGTGTGTGTGTGTTAGAGGAGTGCTAAACAAATGTCAGTGCTGTTTACAGATTAAGACTAGGAAGAAAGGTGTGGTAATCTATAGGTGAGTACCCTATGAATCACAGTGGTCTGACCCACAACTTATCACAGGGATATCTGAGGAACAGGCAGCATTTCCCTTAGTACTGTTCATGGAGATGCCGTGAGCCAGGGGCAGACTTTAAGGCAGCTAACAACACTAATCATTGTTATCATTGTTAATAACAAGAAGATCCCATATAGCTCTTTTCAGAAACTTTCTTTTTTGTCTCTCTTTTCCCAAGATAGAGCATTCGTTTTTCTTTTTATTATCAAACAGTCATTGACATTTAAATTTCTATGGAGCGATAAATGTACACAAAATATTATGGTAAAAAGATTATAAAATTATGCATAGCATGATCTCATTTGGGAAAATAGGTATTTACTGAAAGTGAATTTACAGAAACACTTTTCCCCCTTGCATGGTTTAGTGGTCTCTGGATTTTGTCGCCAGCATGTTAATGATGATGATCTTCCTGTAATGAAATGTGGAACATATTTTGCTTTGTCTGGTATAACCTCGTAGGAGTCCCTGTGTGGTGCTCACTGCAAGGCTGGTACTTCATACCCACCCAGTGGCACTTCAGAAGACTGGACACTTTCCTAAGATTTCAAACCTGGTTTCCAGAGCTTTAGGGAAGCAGCTCTTGCAGAGTAGTTGGGCAGTTTAGACATCTGACTTTTAGTTAATTATTGCTGTTGTATACCATCAAGTTTGAACCAACTCGGGTAACCCTCCAGCAGATTTTCAGAGGCAGGAAATCACATGGGAAGAGAATGCCCTTGCTCCCATGGAGCAGCTGGTGGATTCGAACTGCATGCCTTTTTGATGACAGGCCAGCTACTTAACCACTCGGCCGCTACAGCTCCCTTTTCAGTTAGAAGTGTATAATTCTAACCAGGGCACCACCAGGACCTCTTTTTGGAAGTGGCAGAAGACCCTCAGGGAGCGCTGATCTGCCCTGAAGCACATGGAGTTGTCGTGGTTTGGAATTGGCTCACAAGCAATGGTTTAAGTGCAATAAACAAATGGCTTTGTGTATGACGAGCTGCTATATAAATACCAAAACAGTGCAGTCCATTTTCATGTTGAAAGGCAACGCAGAATGTTTTCTGGCGGGTTTTATGTACAGACCACTGGAAATGCAAAGTGCATAAATGCAGATCAGAGCAGATCATGAGGTGAAACTCATTTTACTTTTATTTCTTCTTGGTTCCAGGAAGGAGTTGAAGTGCGCGTGGCGAGAATATTCAACACCTTTGGGCCCCGCATGCATATGAATGACGGCCGGGTTGTCAGCAACTTCATCCTGCAGGCCCTCCAGGGGGAGCCGCTCACGGTGTGTACCCGCCTCAGCAGGCACCTTGTGTTTTCCTATGCCCACTTTGCAACTCATATCCGGACTCGGCTACCAATATTCAAGGATGGAGGAAATTTGATTCGAGAAACAGCATTTGGGAAGTTGCTGTTTTTTGCATATGTTTCTGTGCCTCCTATCACCCTTGATTTAACATCTTCCTTGGTGAAGGGAGGAAAAACTCATCCCATTGCCCTCATGTTGGACCTCAGAACCAGCTAAGAGCTGACCCTGTAATCTGAGGCTGTAAATTTCTCTGGAGGGGATTACCCATCTCTCCCTTGCTGAGATTCAGACTGCCAGAGAGGTGTGGCCTTTACATTGGCAGTACCAACCCAGAGTTCTTACATCAGAACTGCCTGAAGGGGAGAGAAGTGGGTAAAATAATCCAGCATGTGTAGATCCTCCTGCTGCGATACCTCTGTGGAGCCCAGATATTCCCTAGGACAGGTGGCTATTCCACATTGCCGGTTCCCAGTCTTCAGGTTCCTGTCTGCAGAGATCTTCCCTGTCTCTAGCTTGGCATGCTGCGTGCAGCCTGACATGTGTCTTTACTCGTCACCTCATATTGTCAGAGTCCCGCATCAGAAGGTAGCGGAGATGAGTTGAGATCAGGTCTTGGCACTTCTCTCGTAATGTTGCTTTCCTTGCCAGTTATTCTCACTCCAGGGAAGCCCAGCACAGAGAGTTTGATGTGGATGGTTTGGGGTCACTCCCTGTGCTTTGCAAGAAGGAATGAGACCATCTGTGTCCCAAGGCTTTCTTATGGTGGTAGTGGTGACGGTGGTAGTCATGGTGGTGATAATAATTAGTTGCTGTCAAATCAGTGCTGACTCTCGGTGACTCCATCTTCATGGCGTCAGACCATTACATCAGAGGTTTGTCGCTGGCTGATTTTCTGGAAGTCGGTCACAAAGCCTTTCTTCCTAGACTTTGTTATTCTAGAAGTTCTTCTGAGACCTGTTCAGTGTTGTGGCCACACAAAAGCGTCCACAGACAAGTGGCTGGCGACTTGCATGACTAGTTTTAGTGTTCAGCTGAAAGCGAGCTCTGGTGGCTTCCTGTTAAGAAGCTGTGCTGCAGTCCTAAAGGTACACTGTTTGAATCCACCAGCTGTTCCACAAGAGAAAGATGAGCAGTCTCCTCTGAAAGCCCACTCGAGGGTCTGCTGTGGGTTGATTCAGACTTGACAACACAGAGGAACAATCATTTAGTCTAGCTGTAGTGTCCAGGTGGTGGCTGCACGTGAGATCTAGTGGCTGAGAATCAAAGGTGCATCTCCCATATGGAAGGCAAGCATCCTCCCACTGAGCGGTCACCGCTGTCCCCTCCACCAAGGCGTGCCTCACTTCATCACTTCTCTCAGATCCCCACCCAGCTGTCATCTCATTAAAGGACACTTTCAAACCGATTCTGTATACAATAACATGCACCCGCCCCTCACTGTATAACCGTGCTTTTTATTATTTTCATCCTACTTTTTGCCAGCTGATATATTAATTTTCAGCCCCTTAATCCCTTCTAGAGTGTGAGCTTTTTGACGTCAATAATTTGTTTTATTCATTGCTCCCAGAAGAGTGCCTGGCCCTAGGAGGCAGGCAGTAAATGGTGGTGGAATTAATAATTGGGTTTATGGATGGCTACTTTCTTTTATGATGAGAACAAATAACTCAAAGACTTGTTCAGCAGGCTAGTGATTACTTACAAGGTGAGATTTACTATCATTCTGTGCTTCCTCTTTTCCTGCTTTTTGAGGTTCCAAGGCTCTGGAAAGCTGAGGTTCCCCTCCCTCTGGTTGTCCTGCTGAGAACCTATCATTGTCTGGGACAGCCCCACTGCTTTGTGGAGCCACTGCACTCAATAACGTTTCCTTACAACATGAGATCAGAGCTGCTTTGTTTGTAAACTGTTAAAATCCTTCCAAGAAACAACTTCGTGATTGATTGCAACCTCAGCAGCAGCCAGAGCCCCAGTGGTAGGTAGGAAAGCAAGGCCCCCGGTCTGCCACAAGAGTAAATGCATTGTGGCCAGACAGTCATAACTGATGTGCTGTCTCCTTGCCAAGCAAGCCTCTGTGCCAGCGAGGGGAGGACGAAGATCACTGGTGCCATCAAGAAGGGCATTAAGTTCTCGTCTAAACTCCTGTAGTGGAAAAGAGGCACAAGTCCTCGGGGAGGCCTTTCAGAATGTGTTTTCTTTTCCTGTTATCACACAGAATATTTCTCATCAGTAATTTGATGACATCACTAACCTTCATTCTTTTCTTGTATCCATTTGAGTATAATTTCTTAGTTTTGTAAGCTCTTGCCAGACAGTTCTGTGGGGAGTTCTTGTGGGAAGGATCATTCTTGATTTTCTCAGCTACACCACCTTGGAGAATAGTTTAGTAAGAATGGAACTAAAGAGACGTGTCTGTCCATCTTTTCTCTTTTCCTATTTTTCCAATCTGTAGTTTCTAAGATTAAAGATCCCTTCAATGTGCACTGGGAACACTCAAACCATTAGTGTCTGCCTTCCAAACTGGGTTAATGCAATGCCTTACCTTCCAGCTGCTTTTTTCTCAGAGGCCTTTTGTTATCTTATCCCTTGGCAAAGAAAATTCTTTTGGCACATCTGAGCGTCTTGAGTCCCTGCCATATCAAATGTCTGCTATGATAATTTGAAATATATTCCAAACTCAGTAAGTCATACACTGAAATTCTGTTTAAGTTAAATGAAATAGAAGCTCAGAAAAATAACTTTATTCCCATTTAGTAAGTTTAGAAAATAAATGAGTGTGGTTCACATGAAGCTATCCAGTTTCATTTTGAGGAGATACAATTGAGTTCACACACACACACACACACACACACACACACACACACACACACACGGAAGTTTCATTGGCGTTGAAGTTGTCCAATAAAGACAGCTAGGATATAACAGTGGAGTTTGAAAACTTTCTAACTCTTTTATAAAAAATCCTTGCTGTTTTTTAAATGATTCCCTTCTGTGGTGGGGACTTCCCTTTTCCTGGCCCACTTCTTGCAGGGTTATTGAGCAGGGCTTCAGTGGAAATTCAGCAAACGGCTGGCTGGAGGAGAGGGCCTTTCAGATCCCAGGGGAGCAGATTAGCTGGTCTTATACAAGTGTGGCACTTCCAGCATTAGGGGATCAGCAGGTCTAGGAGGACCAAAAACTGCACCTGACTTTGCTTATATGGACTCAGCCCTGTGAAATGGGACAGCCCAGCCATGAGTGCTCTAGCCAGGCTTTAGATTAGCCTGAAGACCAAGCCTTCAGCTAGGGCTGCTGAGTAGACACCATTGCTGCTTGCATGTCCAATGAGGTTGTAGAAAATGTTTCGGAACACACCAGCAGACCACCATTGTCATCAGCAGGGAAGAGCAGGGAAGATGGAAGAGGAGAGTCTACACACCTTCGGCACTGATTGTGCAAACCCAAGAGTAGCAGGTGCATATGCAAATCAACAGCTAGTTAGCAGCACTCCCACCAGCTTGCCCACTAACGAGCTCTGTAGCTTGAGTCAAGAAGTCCTGCCTGAATCGAATTCCCACATGACAGGGAGATTGGAGAATAGCCAAGACCAGCTTGCTAGCCATATTGGCAGGAGGATATGCAGGCAGTTCTGCAGTTACAGATACAGTAAGGGAGGGAAAAGAACACTGAACTGGGAGTCAAGATCCTTTTCAGTCTGTGGGGTACAGACCAGTCCACCCGTGACCTTCATCAGCCTCAGCTCTTAAGTGATAAGCAAAGAAAGGGAGGGAGGGAGGGAGGGAGGGAGGAAGGAAGGAAGGAAGATTCACCTATAGAACCCTACACAAGTGCAAAATGGATTTGTAGACTGTTGGAACGGACATGGCAGTGCGTAATACTGGTCTCCTGTATAATCAGAGCCATTGCTTTCTTTCTGCCTTGCCCAGCTATATCCTCAGCTTCAGTGAGGCTGAAAAACTGGATTCAGACAGAACTTTCAGGAAAATGCAGAACTACTTCTAAGAGGCTTACATTTCCTTTCCTGAGCTTGCTGCTACAGTTTCTGTGTCGTGTGGACAGAAACCACCATGAATCTGTATTCTCCAGCCTTTTCTCACTGTGTAGCATTACTCTCAAGAACATAACTAGGTTATACCAGTTTACATGTGAAATGGGCGTAGAGAGTGATTATGGAACTCTGGTGGCCTAGTGGACAGACAGTTGCACTGCCAACCCAAAGATAAGCAATTCAGCTCCTCTGTCTGCTCGGTGGGAAAAGATGGCCCTTCACCCCCTGTCTGATTTTACAGCCTCTGAAAACCCACTGAGGGGAGGGGCAGCGGGAAGTCAGTTGCAACTTGACAGCATTGAGTTGGGAGTTTGTATGTCTTTGGCTGTTAGGGGAAAAGCAATCAGGATGTGGAAGGAAAGAACCACTTGTCCTTGTCAAATCTGCTGGCATAGCTTGTTGGAAACTGTGTGGAGAAATGAGACAGACTGAGGGCTGAAGACTATCTAATGCTGACTAGCCTCCTACCCCGACTCCACCCCACGCACAAACAATGGAACGAGAGACCAAGATTGTTTGAATCAAGTTTGGACAGTGGACCCTTTTCTACTTGCCCCCTTTCCATTGCAAGCAAGCAAGAGAAAACTTTGTGTCTCTGTCCACAGTCTGAGACTATAGGGTTAGCAGTCTCTCCAAGGATGTTTCTGTTTTGTCTTTCAGTATCTTCTTGTTGTTGTTAGATGCTGTCAAGTGGACTAAGACTCATGACCCTGTGAGCAACAGATCTGAAGCTTGGCCTAACCTATACCATCAGCTTGGTCATGTCCACCTGGTCATTCCATGTTGTTTAGGGTTTTTCTCTCTTTCTCTGACCCTCATCTTTTGCAGCATTGTGTCACTCTCCAGGTATTGATTCCTCCTATGACTAGCCCCAAAGTAAATGAGGTCAAGTTCATGAATCTTGCCTCTATGGAGTACGCTGCTTGTACTTCCTTCAAGACAGATTTGTTTGTTCTTTTGGCAGTCCATGGTGTATTGAAGACTCTTCACCATCACTACAATTCAAATGCATCAGTTATTCTGCTGCCATCCTTATTGATGATCCGGCTTTCAGATGCATATGAAGCAATCGAAAATATTATGGGTTGGATAAGGTGCATCTTAGTCTTTAAACTGACATCTTGCTCTTTAGTACTAGGAGATATCCTTGACTGCCAGTTTCCCAAAGCAATACATCTTTTGATTTCTTGACTGCTGCTACCATAGATCAAGAAGCTATTGTCTGAATGGGAAAAAAAAAAAAAAAACACAACACTGCATGGTTTAAAATTAGGAAAGGTATGTGTCAGGACTTTATCCTTTCTGCATACCTATTCAGTCTCTATGATGATCAAAAAATGAATGAAGCTAGACTTTGTGAAGAAGAATATGGCATCTGTAGTGCTTCAGAAGACCAAAAACTACAGTCTTTAGTATGACTCACATCGAGAAAACAAAGGGACTTACCACTGGACCAGTAGCATCATGATACATGGAGAGAAGTTTGCAACTGTCATTAATTTCATCTTACTTGGATCCACAGTCAACACCCTTGGTACCAGCAGTCAAGAGACAAGATGTAAGACTGCTGTCAAGGACTTCTCCAAAATACTGAAGAGCAGTGATGTCAATTTAAAGACTAAAGTGCTCCTGATTGAGGCCATGGTCTTTATTTTGGTGTTTGACTTGCTACGCTCTGAGAGCTAGACATTGAATAAGGGTGATAGAAGGAGAATTGATTCCTTTGAGTTGTGATACTGGAGAAGAGTACTGAATATCCCATGGCCAAAAGAACAAACAGGTATGTCTTGGAGAATGCTCTCTGCAGGAAAGGATGGCATAGCTTCGTCTGTCATACTTTGGATATGTTACTAGGAGAGGCTTTTCCTTGGAGAGGGATACTGTGCTTGGAAAGGCGGAGCGAGAGCGAAAGAGAAGAAAACCCCCAATGAGATACATTGATACAGTAACTTGGGCGATGGACTCAAGTGTATCAGAGATAAAGAGGCTGGCACAGAATAGGACAAGATTCAGATCTGTTGTTCCTAGGGTCAGTACGAGTGGTGCTTGTCTCAATGGCACCTAAAACAACTACCATAAGTATTGATTAGGGATCCAAGTAAAATGAAATCGTTGACGACTTCAGTCTTTCTCCATCTCTCATGATGTTGCTTATTAATCCAATGGTTAAGGATTTTGTTCTCTTGATGTTGAGGTATAACCCATATTGAAGGCTGTAGACCTTGATCTTGTTCAGTAAGTGCTTCAGGTCTTCGTCACTTTCTACAAGCAGAGTCATGCTAAGTCTTCCTCCAATGCCTCATTCTTCCTCAGATAGTCCATCTCTTAGTCCTTATTTTGCTGGGCATCAGTACTATCTACTGAGACGAGTCAGACAAAAAGTCCTTCATATACTCATGGGTCTAGGATCAGGGGAAGATGAACATGCCTAGCATAGGGTTTAAGATGTGGACAGGACCTAGGAGCACCAAGAACAAGCTGCCCATTCTATTCTTGGGAAATCCAAAAGGCTTACAAGAAGGTGACATTTGAGCCTAAAAGGTGAGTAGCATTTTTCTAGGAGGAAAAGTAGATTAGTGGACTTATCCCAGGCAGAGAGGAAAGAACAATGATGAAGCTGTATGAAAACAGTGGGACAAAATAGACCAGTGGCCCCATCCTCCTTCTTCTCACCTCTTTTAGAGCCAGTGCTTCCTGTGATGATTCTCAACCTGACCGCACGTTAATATCACTTGGGAGCTAGATTTATAAAGAGAGGGATTTCTGGGCCACATCCCTGGAGTCTAGTTGTCTGGAGATGAACACCTATCTGATTCTCGTGAGTAGACAGAATGGAGAACCCTGATTAAGTATCTTGGTGACTAAGTATATTGATCTCTCACCCAACTAGACTGTGAGATGGAGTGTCGTCAAAACTTACAACAGCATTTGACACAGGGTTGTTGTTGTTTTATGCCCTCAAGTCAGACCAACCCAAAGTTGACCGACCCTCCAGCAGTTTTAGAGGCAGTAAAACACATGGGAGATTTCCCATCTTTCTCTTGTGTAGCAGTTGGAGGATTAGAACCACGTGCCTTTGGGACTGCAGTGCAGGTTCTTTTTTTTTTTTTAATTATAATTATATTTTATTAATTTTCATAAACATTTACAGAGATTTTGGGCTTCCACTCATTCATTGTTGCACTATTCTCTCTACCCTCCTCCCAGTTTGTTCTTGTCCAAATGCCACAGTGCTTGTCAAAGCCAGTTCTGATTAATCTTCTTTGTCAGTGTATCCTTTGCCATTCCCTATCACTCCTCCCTGAGAGAGACTTCACCCTGAGTCATAAGGAAAAGGGGACGGCGTATTCTCTTAGCTACTTCCTGCTGAAAAGGGACGCTGTGGGTTTCAGGGTGAAGATCTTCTCTCTGCAGTGCAGGTTCTTAACCATGAGGCCACCAAATCTCCCTAACGTGACATATCCTAAGATTCTAATAAACCAGTTCTCTTGGTTAATGTGTTCAGGGATGTTTTGGTTTTTCAAGGGTTTTTTTAGGGAGGACTTTGCATGTGTATGCATATTTATTTATTCACTGTTTCTGCCCCCTCCTCTGTTAGATCGTAATTTTAAAATAAAAAGTGTGGGTTGTAGGTCAAGACTTAACTGGGAGTCACCATCAGCACGATTTGGATGTCGATTGGGGATCAGTCAGCCCCTGTGGCGTATTTAGTAACCCTGCTTTCTAGTGCATTTTTCTCCCTCCAGGAAGCCTAAGGTTTCATTTCTTTCCAGGTCTATGGATCCGGGTCTCAGACGAGGGCATTCCAGTACGTGAGGTAAGTTTGCTTGCTTGCTGCGGTGCTACTCTGAGGAGATGCTGGCTTTGCCCGAGCGATGAAGGATCTGTTTAATCAGTTAATTAGTTCTTTTTACGACTTTGGTTAAAAGCTAATTTTAGTCATAAAATGAGAATGCTCTTGCAGTTCTCTGTTTAACAGTGAGAAATTGGCATTCATATCCGTGTACTAAAGCTTGGTTGGTTTTAGCAGCCCCATGGCCGCAGCCCATGACTCTTAGGCTAATCTTTTACTGCCACCTAGTGCTCCTTGGGGGAATATTCTCAACACTGAGGGACCTGGGCGATTTAGACAGAAATCACCAACAACCCAACAAATCCCCAAATCCAGTCCATTTTAAACATGTTTTTCTGGGATGCGTGAGAAACTCATTAAGGATAAGGTAGTGTGTTCAAAGTTATCAGACTTTATACTAAAACTAAGTGCCATAAAACTATATTTGAAGAAATTGTTTTTTTAAAGTTTTTGTTTATTTGGAAATAATTGAACTTTCATGTTTTATTGGTCAAATCAATTAGGAGCTAAATTTTAAAATTTCAAGTTGGGTTCTGAGAGATGTTGTTGTTGTTGTTGTTATGTGCCGT